ATTTGGTATTGACACTTGGATATGAGCAAATTATTCAAATGACGTTTCCGCATTTATTTCTAATGTACTATAGTTGAGAAAAAAATATTTACGCATTTTGGCATTTATTTAAATACTTATTTACAGGATATTTCGACTTAAGTACAGCTTTGAGTTAAATGAAATTTGGGGCGTTACAAAACGTGTTGGGCGAAAAAGTGTGTTTAAAAAAAAAAAACTGTTCAATTATGTATCGCCACGTGGCACAATATCAAAAATAATGTAAAAAAAAAAGAAGTATACATATCATGATTGTTTTTCGAAAACTCGTTAATTGTTAATGCAGAAGGTTGTGTATAGGGATGGGCATCCAATTGAGCTGGGCCCCTTTTTTGCACAAACCCGACCCGATCGACTGTGTCGATTTTTGGTTTAAACCTCCCTAGCTCAATTCCGTAACAGAAACTGACCCAACCCAAACCAAGTCGGCTCAAGCTGGGTCAAACTTCTTTCTTTTTTTTTTTTTTCCTTTCAATATTAAGATGGTTCAAACTTCCAAATGAATTCTTATTTACCTATACAAAATTAGAAAAAAGTTTAATATTTTTTATTCCTGTTGATAATAGTTCTTTTTCACAAACCATGGTACTGTAAAATTTTTAACTAAAACAAGGTAATTTAATCAAATTTAAAACATATTAATTTATAATATATTAAATATCACATTAAATGAGAATCATTTTTTGGACAATTTTAACTCTACTATGATTCAATTATTTCAATAATACATTATTTTTTATTTTTCAATATGTAATAAATACTACAAAAATTTTATCACGTACGAATTTCGTATTATTAATTTTCAATTAATTAATATTCACATTAATCTAAACTTAATGAATCTTAATCTACATGAATCTAGAGTTATTATAAATGAATTTATTTATATTTATGTATTTAGAAATTTTAATGGGTGTTAAAACTCATGTATTAACAATTAATTCTTATGTATCAAATATAAAAAAAAGTTGCTCATTTGTAGTATTTCATCACCACAAAAAAATTGAATAATAGAAGTTGAATTTTGATAGTACAATTTTCTTTTTTTAAAATTTTATCCTAAATTTTATTTTTTTTAGTTCGTTCGAGACTTATCAAATTCTCCCAAAAATTTGATATCAAATATTATTTTTGCAACACTTATAAAGTATTTCAAAATAATATGCTAGGCACATTATTTTTTACTGGTACAATTAAAATAATCAAAATTGCTATCTTAACACACATTTATAGAAAAGTGCAGGCGATCTATATATCTCGCAGAAAGTCAAATAAGATAACAAAAAAGTCGAACTAACTGGAATCAAGCCCATGAATACATTACACATATACAAACTTAATAGAGGCTTACTTGAATTCAGAGATTTGATCATACGTCAGCTGATCCGCCTTTAGGAAGATCCTAGTTATCGCCCTCCTCTTCCTTTTTGTTCTTGGGTGTCTCATCTATCCGAGTGAAGTTTCTTGATTCAGGAAGAATCGTTAGAGATGAGATCGCAAGAGGTAAGGGAGACTAGGTTTTGAAGTTGAGAGAGAGGACTTCATGTTAGGAAACATGGAAATAGCAATGGCGCATTTTTTAAATGGCCACGTCAAATTCTTCAATCACCACATAAGCATAACTTATTAATTATTCACCATAATGACATTTTTAACATTTAAAAAAAAAAAACCTTCATTTCAAAATTTAAAAGCAAGAATTTATTAATAGACCCCCAGACCCAGATCCCAAGATCTCTCAAACCCATTATCAGATAATCGATCCTCTGTGATTTCTTTACAGATTTGAATTTCTTCAACACTACGAAAGAATCTTTTGTTTAAATCTTTGAATATTAAAGAAAAGAATATATTATCCATCATATTATGAGCAAAAAATTTAAAATCTAATCAAATAAAATGAAGAAACATTGAAGATGGAGATGGATAAAGAAATCTTGAACAGTGGAGATGGAGATGAAAAAACCCTAAAGAATCAGTTTTTGGATGGAGAAAAGTTCTTGATTCTTCAAATTCCTAACGTTCAAAATGAGGGTAAAATGTGTTGACCTATGGTTGAT